CCCCGTTACAATGCCTTATGTAGTATGCTCTAGCATTTTGATCTTTTTTCTCTACGAAAACTTCCATTTCTTTCTTAGTTTTGTTCTTTTTGCTACTTCTTTGCTTAGTATTCGCCCCAGTTAAATTGCTTTCGTGTTTATTACTTCCATCTTTTACAACTAACACCACACTTAGTTAAGGTAAAATTCCCAATAAGCACATGTACCATAAAATAGAAAATGGATAATTACCATTACTACTGCCAACAAATTAAATACTAGTCATAATAAACACTGATCTCGATACACTAAATAAGTTGCTGAGAAAAAGAAGTACGAATATGTAATAGCAGCTGATGAAGGGAAGTTAAAAAAAAGTAGCTGGGAACTTAAACTCTGAGCATGACTCAATCCAATGTAAAGAGAATTGTCTATTTCAATAGTAACTTCCAGCAATTTACTTATTAGCTTTTAAAAGAACTGTAGTCTGCACTAGTTTAAATTAAGCAGAAGAGAAAGAACGGACTGAGATTGTGCTTCTAGTCAGTACTTAGACTTATTACAGTCACTACTGCAATTGTGCACATTTGCATTGAATTATTAAATGACGACTAAAACAGAGGGTGTGTTTGAACCACACCTAAATGATAAGTTTCAGAAAGAAAGTAATTTCAAAAAAATAATCACCTTTTTAGTCCTTGACCCAAGTGCTAAGGAATGCTGTGAAAGCCACCTTAAGCTGTTCTCTGGTTTCGAAGATTTCTGTGGAGACAAAAGGAAGATAAAAATGAATTTGGGTCTCTTCCTCAGAATTGCTCCCGCTACATTACAATCCACTATAAAGGTACCCGGAGAATCGCTCAGTGAAGAACAACTCATCTAAGTCATTCACAAGGCAGTATAATGTAAAATAAGAGTTATAAGTGATACAAAAGTGAAAATTTGGCCGCAATCTTGAAAAATCAACCTCAACCCTTATAGGCTACCGCCTATATGATACATATAGTGTACATTAATAGTTTAGTTACAGGTAATGTATGTCGTTAAAGTAGGTCCACACTGACTTTTCACTGCTGTTAGAAGTGCAAGATAGATGCTAATTGTTTGTTAAGTGTTAATTGATATTGTGTATTCCAACTATGAATATGATTATCTCAAATATAGCACATCACAGTGTTAGACATTAACGCTGAGAGTAGGCCATAGCTGTTAGGCTAGTAAAAGCTACAAATGAACTGATTACCGTAAATGAGTAAAACTTAGAGAGAGAAGAATCACACAAAGTACTCAAACATTAAGATAGAAAACGAGACAACAACTCACAACACTATAACTCATAACAACTCAATGGTACAAAACCAATACACACTATTTATAGTACAGCAGAAAGATGACATAACATAAACCACAACCAAAAGAATGTAATAATCACTAACAATCATTTAACAGTGCATGTAGTGTAACACTCCTCTCTGTCAAATGATAGTGCCATTTCAGCAAGAGCTTTCAATTTCTCAAATTTCTCCTTTCATAGACCTTTTGTTAACATATCAGTACCCATGTCCTCTGTCTTGCAATACTTTACTTCAATGTTCTTCTTATTAATTTCTTCACGAATAAAATGACACTTTATTTCTATGTGCTTGGATCACTATGTGATAGAGAATTCTTTCCAATGCAAATATCAGCTTGATTATCCTCATATAGAACTGTACAGGTGAGTATTGGAGATCTGAGCACAGTTGCCTGTGCCAAATTGCCTATTGAGCTGCTTCAGACAGTGCTATATAGTTGGTTTTAGCAGTGGATGAAGCAGTACTTGTTTGTTTCTTGCTTTTCCAGCTGATTCCTGTATTCTCAATCAAAAATATATACCCTGACATGGATTTGCGATCATTTTGATCACCAGCAAAATCTAAATCAGATTAGCCAATAACTCCTATTCAAGAACTTTCCTGTACAGTAAAACATAATTCACAGTTCCCCTTTACTGCTATCCAGTGTACTTGTGTGGGTTTAGATAGGAATTTAGCCATGTTAGAGACAGCATAATTAATGTCAGGGTGTGTCATCGTGGAGATATATTGGAAACTGCCTACTGCTGACTGATATATATTCACATCAACCAATTCATCTCCTTCTTGAGCTTTAACTAACTTTTACAGCAAAATTAACTGGTATAGCAATCGATTTGGCATCCTTCATTCTAAATATCTCACTAATTTCAGCTGTGTAATTTGGTTGCCCAACCTAAATGGAATTATTTGTAGAATTCAGCATTACTTTCACATTCAAAAAATAGTTTAACTCTTCAAAAACTTTGATATCCAAACTTATAGACAGCATGCCCTTTATCTCTCATTTTCTCTGAACGCTTGCTAGTGAGTAATTTGTCGTCAAAATATGCTGCCACTACAACTAACTCGTACTGACGTTTAGACCGGGATCACTAGATGATTCATTGAAACCCATGTCTTTCATGCTAGTATAAAGAGCAGTGTTCCAACATCTGGGCCCTTGCTCAACCCATAAAGACTTTGTTTCAGCTTGCAAACCAGCTGTGTCTCTCCTTTGAATTTGTAACCCTCAGGCTGTTGCATGAATACTTCTTCCTCTAAGGTTCCATTTAGGAATGCAGAGGTAACATCCATTTGATGAAATATGAGATCATTCTGAACAGCTGCTGGTATGACTAAACGAATCGACTCAAAATGAACGACTGGACAAAACATCTCGTCCATGAGCATGGGAAAACCCTTGAGCTACTAGTCTGGCCTGGTACCTTTCAAAGGATCCATCAGCATTGATTTGACGCTTGAATATCCATTTGCTTTCAATGACATTCTTATCCTTAGGTAGCTCAATGAGATCATACACATCATTAGCCTTCAACAAATCCATTTCTCTGTCCATCGCTTTTTTCCTTTTATCAGCTTCACAACTAGACAGTTTTTTGTTTACGGCACGTGGTTCATTGCCTTGAGTAGTGTTAAGATAAGGATAATAATCGTGTTTATGTCTTTTTCTGTCAGACCAATGTAGGACTGGTTGAATAGGTGAACGTAGGTCTGGTTTAGCGGGTAAAGCAGGAGGTTCCTCTGGATAAGGACCAGGGGAGTGACATCATCATCAACAGCAAGCTCATTAATATTATTGTGATACAATTCAAAAATTATAGATGTGTCAGAAGTCTTAGACTCCTTCTCAAACCCAAACCTCTCCTCATTGAAAACTACATATCAACTATAAAACATTCTTTATCATCAACTAGATAACCCTTGATTGCATTTCCATAGCCCAGAAGAACACACTTTTTGCCTTTGGAATCTAATTTAGACCATTCTTTTTTAGCAATATGAGCATAATAGACACAACCAAACACTCTAAGGTGATTGACCTTAGGCTTGGACCCAGATAAGGCTTTCTGGGGCTTCTGTTTTTCAGATAGACTGCAGTGGACAAGGCTTCTGCCCAAAAGCTGTTAGGAAAGCTAGTGACAATAAGCGTTCACCTCACAGACTCAATTAGTGTGCTGTTTGCACGCTCAGCCACCCCGTTCTGCTCAGGTGTGCGTGGTATGGTAAGCTCATGCTTAATTCCTTCTGAGGTGAGATATGCTATAAACTCATTCGAGGTGAATTTGCCTCCATTATTTGATATCAATACTTTCAACTTTTTCCCTGTGGATTTCTCAACCATTGATTTCCACTCAATAAACATCTTAAACACATCATTCTTGTACTTTAACATGTACACCCATATGTACTTTGTATGATTATCAATGAAAGTGAGAAAATACTCTGCCCATCCAAGAGATCAGGTATTGATTTTCCCACAGACATCTGTGTGTACTAGCTCCCCTCCAGTCATTCAGAATGGTGTACCGTGTAATTTCCCTTTAATGCACGACTCAGATATCAGCATCACTGGCGAGTGGCGATGTCACTGATATTGAGACCATAAACTAGCTCTTCCTTTACTAGCTTCGTTAAACTTTGTACATTGAGATGACCATATCTCTGATGCCATCTCTTTACGTCTGCAGTGTGTACGGTTGAGTTCATTGATTCAATGTTGCTTGAGCATTCTAGGTAGTAGAGACTTCAATGCTTAGTAGCAGTTGCTATCACCTCACCACATCATTATTTATAATGGGACAGCTAGTATTATAAAAGACTGCTATGTTACCACTTTTTGTAGTCTGTGTTACGCTTAGTAGGTTGAATGTGAGCTGTGGCACAAACAGAGCATGATGCATTATGTCATTTCTGTGTGAACCATCTAAACGTAATGTAACGGTTCCACTACCAGAGGACATGATCGTGGTATTATCACCTAGAGTTAATTCTACTGAACTTTCTAACTCTAAACATAAGTGACAGGTAGCACCTGAATCTACAATCCAACTATTTCTCTGATTTAGTCTACCTAGTAGCTAAAGCGTATGTAGCTAGCAGACTCACATCAGCTCTTTTTCCTTTACTTCATTTCTTTTCTTTCTCATTCTTCATTCGCTCATGACAGTCCTTTATCATGTGTGCCACCTTTTACAGTAGTGACAACGTATGCTAGACCTTGATTTCTTGCCATGATGACTCAGAGCTTTCTCTATACTTCCGGAAAAACCATCTCTTTCAGTAGCTTTTCCTACTACATGTGTCAGACAATCAATGACTGTCTCCATTGACGGGACCTTCTTGTTAGCTTCTAACACTCAGAGGCATCGCTGAGGCACAACCATTAGTAGGGCAGGGGTGTGGTAGTAGGCGGCACGCGAAGCGTGCCACAAAATATTTAGTGGGTTAATTAATATTCATAAGGGGCGTGGTTATTCATAATCAATCAATGTTCAATTAATTTTATTATTACAATTTTACGAAACAAAAAATTATTAATTATTATTGTCAGATCACAGCGAGCTTAGAGTCAGAGAGTAAGATCTATCTAGTCTGTTGCTCGTCCTAAGCTATGTACACATCTTTCATTGCCTTCTATAAACTCCAAAGCAACACTTCGTTTATCTATTTGGTCAAAGTTTGGTGCGTGTGCAGAAGTAAAGAGTAATTTAGTCTGTCCTGGTTCATAGTCGTTCTGAGCCATGTTTTGGTCCTTCGAAGAGCTGAACAAGAGCGTTCGCTAACAGCATTGGTAGGTGAAGCTAGAAGAACCATCCTGTATAGGAAAATGTCCTGTGAAATCAAGGACTTTTGGGATTTTGAAAGCTTAGCGATGAATTCCTTCTGGTCATTGAAAGTGGCCGGCCTAGCAGCCGCTTGGGAGGTATGGAAAAATGATGATAAAGTGCTCAAGTGAGTTTCTAAAAGTCCTTTATCGACCTCGTTGTTGTAAAAGCAAGACACAGCCTCCAATTTCTCTGTGAAACTCTCCTGATTTACTGCCTTGAGTAGAAGGCTCTCTAATTGGCGCAAAATATGGTACCCTGGGTGGTCAAAACGAGTTTTGATGCAAGAGATAATAACATCTAAGGATCTAAAATACATAGCCTTATAAAGAGATTTAGGTGTGTCTGGATAGTAGGCTTCAACTTGACCGTCCTCATATCGAACTGGTCGTTTTCGTTTGCATGGAAGCACTGGCTCACTTAGTTCTAACTCATTGGCTTTTTTAGTCACTTTTGACCAAAACATGTCAAACTGTTCGTCTGACCTCATTAGCTCAAGAGTTGAAACTGTCATAGCAGGTACTGACTGACCTTCAGATGCCAACATGAAACTGTGTTGGAGAGTTTTGGACAAGTTGTCATTATGCTTTAAAAGTAAAATTCCAAGTGAAGTACCAAAGAAATACTCAAAAGTGCTCATCTGGTGTTTAACGCCAATTATTTGAGATTTTACCTCAGAATCTAACCTTTGTGTGAGACACTCATCCCATAACTCACGAAGAGGCAACCAGCTGTCAATCACACCCTGCAGAGAGTTGGCTCGGACTGTCCATTGAGTTGGACACAACCTACGAAAGCCTGGTGTATCGGGAGCAAGTTCTTGTTTCATTTTTTCATAAAGTGTGTCACGTTTTGGTGAGTACTTTAACAACTTTGATATTTCATTTGTTGTATCAAGAGCATCGGCCATTGTCTTAATTTTTTTGACAGTGTCACTAACTGCAAGCTGTAAAGAATGGCCATAGCAATGTACTAAAATAGCACGAGGCTCCTCCCTCTGAATTAGACTGGCAATGCCACTTCGAACACCCACCATGTTACTTGTACCGTCATAACACTGTGCACAGCTTTTACTAATGCTAATAATCAGCCTAAGTAAGACATCTTTTAGTGAGGAAAACAATGTGGAAGCAGTGATGTTGTCAACTTGATAGAAGCCAATTAAGTCCTCATTAACACTAAAAGAATCACTATCTACCCAGTGAAAGCAAATGACAAACTGCTCACGGTTTGAGGAATCTGTTACTTCATCTGCCATCAACGCATAGTAAGCATTATCATGCACATGTTTTGATATTTTACGAAGGATGGAATTGGCCATGATTCGTAAAATTGCATTCTGAATTTCTCCAGACGTGTACTTTTCACGCTCTTTTGTCAGCCATGCTTGCAAGGCAGGATCTGTCTCACTTTGAAGCTTTAATAGCTGAATAAAATTCCCTTCATCACTGCTATCACCCCTAAGTGCCAAGCCTTGCCAAGCAAGATACTTGATTGACCTAATTATAACATGCAACATCCTACAATTGACTTGCCTTTTCTTGCTCAATGACCTCTGCATAGTGAGTGCAATATCTTCACATTGCTCAGGAAGAGTGTGGATATCAATTGCTTCCTTATGGCAATCACTTATGTCATGCTTCCTAAATGCAGTGGTCGCATTCTTCCAATTGGAGTAGCCTTGGGTAGTAAAGGAATCTTCACACTTTGATGATTTCAGCTGTCCAGATTCCACTGCTTTCATACAGTACCAGCAGAACACACTGTCATTGGACTCATTATAGTGCAGCCAAGAAAACTGCTTTGTCCAAGAAGGTTTAAATCAGCGATATTTGTCCCCAAACTTTTTTTTAGGAAACGGTAGTCATCAGAAGGTTGATTGGGCTTTGATGGAATGGCCACTTGAACTGGATTATCAGTTCTAGCTGGTGACAAACTGCAGCTGCTTTGTTCACTGCCTGGAATTTCATTGCTCTCTGGAACAGCTGGAGCTGATGGAGTATTGCAGGATAACCTGACAAATCCCGTTGATATTAAGTTAGACTGCTTAGACATGCTTCTTCACCTGCAATAATAACAGTTTTAATAATTATTTTTATTAATAATAATAATATTCATTAATAATAATGATTATAAATATTAAATAACTAGATAATTTTAATAAAATGTGACCATAATTGACGAAAGGTACCTTATGGTAGATTTTTTAATTCATCATTTGAATGAAAAATATCAAACTGTGAGTGCCCTGTTGGACAACCATTGTTTCTAAAAGTTACATAGTAACTTTTTGCATTCTGTGGAGTAATTTTACAATAAATGGAGCTCAGGAAGTTGGATTTTTTTGGCTATAAAGACAAAATTCACTGCCTGCCATAAGGTGCCTTTTGTCAATTATGGTCACAAATGGCAGCTCTGGGCAACTGCCATACCTGCCCTATAGGCAGCGACGCATCTGACACTGTGACAAGAGTATCGTAAGACTCAGGCAGGCTTGCTAAGAGATAAACCACTTGATCTTCACTGTCGATAGGAACACCAACAACAGCCCATTTGTTGAAGAGCTTAACCATTTCTCTTATGTGGTCCTACATAGACGCTCCGTCTTTAAGCTGTAGACTGTGATGTTTTCTGCGTAGGATCTTGTTACTCCAGTTTCTTTTCTGGAATTGATTGTCTAGCTGCTTCCATACTTCACAGCATCTTTTGGTTCTCCAAGTAGATAAAGCAGTAAAGGATCAAATTGAGAGGACTATGGTAGCCAAGGCGTGGTCCTTCCTCGCTATGTATTGAGTGACTACTGCCTCGTCTGCTCCATCTGCTGGTGGAACTTTGGTTTCATTGACTATTGTCCAGAGCCCTTCTTTCATGAGAGCCACTCTACATTGTAACTTCCAAGTTGTGTAGTTCCAACTGTTAAGAGGAATGATACTGCTTCTGTCTCAGTTATCATTCTAGAGTACTGGGCTCATAACCTGTGAGAGATTAATGCTGAGAGTAGACAATATCTGTTAGGCTATACATGAACTGAGAGAAGAATCACACGAAAAACTAAAACATTGAGATAGAGAACGAGAGCACAACTAAAAACACTATAACTCAGAACAACTCATAATAGTACAAAACTAATACACAATATTTATAATACAGCACAAAGACGACATAACATAAACCACAACCAAAAGAATGTAATAATCACTTAAAATCATTTAACAATGCATATGTACTAACACACAGGTATTATAGTTATTAATAAAACTTAAATTATGGTAAATTAAAAGTTTATATGTAGTCAGATGTCTTCTTTATTGCTGTGAGCAGTCACAGATTAATTAGGAGAGGTACAGCAGCATCTCTAAATAACTTATGGTGGGGTCATTATCTATTTATGCCTAAACTCACCACAGACATGAATAAGACTCAGGTTGATCAAATTATGTCTATACTTCAAGCTCCAGTATAGCAACTGCTAGTCCTTCATTCTATCAATGTTAAAGTTAAAGTTCAGATCTTGCACTGTTATTATCACATTGTGACACTACGTTTCTCATTACAATAATACTCAGTTCTAAAGCAGAAATGTAGCAAGTAGTGTTAGTAGGAGGCACAATATACAAATCCTGCCTTCAAAAGTATAGCATAAAGGCTTAAGCAATGTAAAAAAAGGTGTGGCTGCCTGTCTTAGCATTTGCTGTACGATAATGCAGTCTTTTTTCTTGTCTTTGTATATGTATGACGTTAAAATAGTTACATACTTTACCTACAATTGTATTGGCCTTTCCTTTGAGTCTTGCACATTGCTTAAAGTGTTTCCCACTTCTTGATAGCTGCAGTGGCCATTTTATTGCATCCGCCTAAGCAGCAACCGCACGTGGGAGGAAATAATGGCTTTAAGTACTCTTCAAGTGTCCATTTGCTTTGATTTTACTTCTCCATTTTATAACTGTGCTGCAGTTTCATCATATATCAAAGTACCAGGGTTTTGGAGAGGATTATAATGGAGAAAAACCTCTGTCTGTTGCATTTAAAATAAGAAAGTTATTACATTATGCAGATTTAAGTCAGTGTGAATCTAGTACAGTTTAAGCTATTTACCTATTAGCTCATTATAGAACAGGTGACCTCTTTGTCTGCACTAGTTTAAATTAAGCAGAAGAGAAAGTACGGACTGGGGTTCAGCTTCTAGTCAGTACTTAGACTTATTATAGTCAGTACTGCAACTTTGCACATTCGCATTTAATTATAACATGGTGACTAAAACAGAGGGTGAGTTTAAACCACACCCAAATGATTAGTTTCTGCGATGAAACATTTTTGAAAAAATTACCTTTGTAGTCCTTGACCCAAGTGCTACGGAATGCTGTAAAAGCCACCTTAAGCTGTCTCTGGTTTAGAAGATTTCTGTGGAGATCGAAGAAAGATATAAGAATTTTGGTCTATTCTCTAGAATTGCTCCCGCTAAATTACAGTCAACTATAAAGTTACCAGGAGAATTGCTCAGTGAAGGAGAACTCATCACAGCCATTTATACGGCTGTACAACATAAAATAAATGAGTTATAAGCGTTTAAAAGTTGCAAATTTGGCCGCTATCTTGAAAAATCAACCTTAAATTTACATATAGGCTACTGGCTATATAATAAATGTAGTGTCATTTGATAGTTTAGTTACAGGTACCGTATATCGTTAATTAAAAGCTGCATGCAAATAACTGCCGATGTAGCAATAGAATTCAACTATAAAAATACACAACTTCAGTTAAGAAGTAACTCAGAGGCCTTATGGATGCTACCTAAAGTTGCAAGAGTTAAGTGCATGAGGTCATAGGTTCGAATCTTTCTCAGGGCCAAAGTGTTTTTAATACTTTTGTTTCACGGTTGATATACCATTAAAGAAAATAGACGGTCAGGCTTTTGTGTAAGGAAATACGGTAATACATTTTAAACTTTAAGCTATATAGAAATGTATCAGTTTGAACCATAAAAAAATGGTATGCACGTAATTGAATGGTAATATTTTTTAAATGCAAAAAGCAGTAGCTACTAATAAAGTTATTCGTAAGGATGGTACAAGCACTTGAAATCAAGATACATTTGCATACTGTAAGTAACTAATTAAGATTTTAGGGGCAGTGTTGAATCCGAAACTACATCCTCTTCTGTTGTACCCATTAACAATTCAACAAGCAGTTCGGTTCTTTCTGACGAACATATGCAACTACTATTGTGGCCAGTACTCTTAAGGTACATCAGGGTAAAACCACATGACAGATTTGGCAACACAAACTCTTTTCTTTGTACTTTTTCAACAATGCATTTTTATCAAGTTTTTCTCAAAAGTGACACGCAAGAGATTTTACCAAACTTTTGAGAATGGATGACTATTAAGTGAAGAATTCTTGAACATGAAGCGAACACTAATTTTAAGCAGTATCCTTGTTTCATAATACTGTGTGCTATTAAAGTATGTTGCATCACTTGGTAATACATCTCCAAGTTTTGCAAAACGGGCTGAAATATTTCATAGCGTTTTCTTTGCTTGAAAACAACTCATATTAGGATGTACTGCCTGCAAAACTCAAGTATGAGATAATCTTCATTATACCATGACTCAAAACATTGGAGCTTGAACATGCATTGACATGATAACGCAGCTAAATAAACAAGTCAAGAAATGCATACTGGCAGCCCTTTCTATTCATAGTTTGACTAACATGATGTCATAACTTAACACCTTGCAATTAAATTTTACTGACAGTTTTATGATACAGAGGTATCAAGCAACGACACAAGATCAAAGAGAGAGTAAATGGTTAAGGTAGTCTTTTTTCTACTTTTCTCTGCTGTTATTTATGTAATCATTACGTTTAAAAAATTGCTTTTAAACAGAAAATTTATTATTAATAAATTAAAAGCATTTGTAATGTCATTTACTAAGTTCTCATGTATCTAAAGATGAAAAAAATGTATGTGTTAAGTATAATTATATTACTATGACAATTAACTCTTGAATTGCCGGTGCTTTTTTCATTTTTGATCTATTTCAATTAAAATTATGTTACTATTTTGTACTTACTTAGTCTTCATTATTTCACATCTTGCTGCTTGTTGCCATGCCATCAAGGGTTAGAATTACAAGAAAATTTCTCAATATTAAATGAGAAATATTTTTAAATTCAAAACTATCTTATATTTGTTCCATGTATGAAATGATGTTTGATTTGAAGTTTAATTAATTGCAGACAGTCAAAGAAATGTTATAAATTGTTGGAAATAATGCTAACTGGTTTTTAGTACACAATCACAAGTTTCAGCACTTCATGTACAACAGCAAGCTAGAGAACCCACTTTAATTGGGGCAGGGTTGAAGGTGCATTTTTACAGATTTAAACCTCCAATAAAGAACAATTCAAATTTTGTTAACGCTTGCTACCCATGTAATTTATATAGCACGTGTGTGGGCAGTCAATTAATTACAGGTATGAATAATTAAATTTTGTTATAAATGTTTTTCTTTGAGCTTTAGACTTCTCAAAAAGACTGCTATAGACCTAAAAGGCTGATACTACATCAAACAATAACTCACAATTTTGTAGTTATGGGCGATATACCGATTCTTTATTGATATAAACAATATTTTACGGAATCAATTTAAATCATTATCAAAAATTTTATGCAAATTTCATCGATCTATTGACCACGCCCATTAATTAAGGTTAAAGAACTAATTTTAATGAGTAATTGCACTGTTGAACTGCAAGAAATAGGCAACTGATCAGTTGTTAGCTCAACCTATCCCAATAAGAGAAACAAGGCTCAAGAGCATGGAAATGATCTCATGACCAGTACAGTGCCGAAATCATTAGCCACACCCTTGACACACCCTTAAATGAAGGTGTGGTTACCGCATTGTTAATAATCAATATTTTCTTAAAAAGTCCATTATCAATCGTTATTGAAAATAAAGAAAATTGGCCAAATCGCCCATCACTACACACCCAAGAGTTACCATGCATGATCCGTGAATGATGGGTATCAGGCCTGGACCAGGTTTGATTCTATAACGGTCCAGCATCGACCGCCATCACTGCTGAATCGAGGCTGTTGCACTGGCCTGGACCAGTATCTATTTCAGTCCCGATGTAGTCATAGCTGATACAGTAATGTCTGTTCGTCAGCACTGGTCCAGGCTGTATATCAGTACTGGATCAGATCGATGCTTTTCAAGATGGCAGCCCCGCGTGGACTATCTGACATGTTTTGTTAAAGAAAATCATCTTAATCTGACTCTTTAAGAGGAATCTTGTTGGCTGTATACACTAGGGCTAAATCACTGGATGTTATGTGAGTACCGTGGACTACATTAAATGTTATACTATTTTTAGGCTATTTTGAACCATTTATTACTTAAACATGAGTAGGATACACGATATTTTGAGTAAAAAGTATGCACATGTAGATACACAATCAAGCTAAATAAATTAATTGAGCAGATACATGACTGGAAAATAAAACGACTGACACCTTCCAATTAAAGTTTACCACATCTTGCCTACAAAATCTCTATGATACGAAAATAGAGACCTGGGTTTATGAGGAATTACCAAAGGGGTATAAACTGCATGAACAAACTTATAATAAATTTAGGCTAATTATTATTGTGAGATTAATGACTTCAGTTTAATTGACTATAATTAGAAGTACATACCTTTCATTATGGATTCTCCGTTAACTTTCTAGTATTGAGCCAAGCATTGAAACAGAGCCAGAAGACCTTTCTGCAATAATCATGACACTAGTGAAGACAATGAGGAATCAGGCGTAAAAATGGTTCACTACATGTGATTGTAACTATGTTTTTAATTAGGGTGAATGTATTAGTGATCATGATGATGAAGATATTGTACTGAGAGACTTATGAATGATAGTCACAAGTGTGGTAAAATAGTTTATTGATTATGTGTGTAATTGTTACTTTTCCTTAGAATTTTTGATGCGGAAGATTATTCTGGAAATATTAGTATAGTAGGTGCTCCTTTAATTCATATTAATTTATTAATTTAGCAAGGCCACTAGTATACATTCTATAGTTACCTTATCTCACTAAGTTTCAAGACAAGAATATCGTAGGTTTGTTTATAATTTCATGTGAAAAGCTAAATTCATTATTCAGGTTGTGATGAACTGAAACTTTCTTGTTTAAAGCTCTTGTTAAGGTCAGTTTAATCATAGTGTTTTAATTTATTATCATCATTTGTCATTATAGTTCACTTCAAATAGCATTGAATTTTTTTGTGAACCTGCCTTCATCATGCTGGTTAAGGAAGGTATGTAGTTCCTTTGCTTATGTAGAATTTATGCCTCATTATAGTTATGTTATGGAACTAAGCTTTGTAGGACTATGTGTGACAAGATACCTTTGAAAGATCTGCTTCACTACATGGAACCCGAGAGTTCATTAATGTTGGAGATTTTGGGAAATTAATTTCTCAGTAATGTAAGTTTATTATTTTAGTGCCTTCTTAATTTATGGCTCTTTAGGTGTCTTAAGTTACAAAACATGAAGTGTCTTACTTGTGGAACATTGGTAGACTATGATAAAGAAAACAATTATAATCTTTTTTTGGTTTTAATAATAATTCCAAATCATTTTAAATTAATAATGAATAATAATTAAGTATTAATTAAGCATAACAGGAAGTACGTCATAATGAGGCTTAATGAAATCGTTATCGTTGTCGGATCAGGTCTGGCACCAGCATAAATCGTGGCTGATTCGTCAATATCGGATCAGGACATTGCCCCAAATCCTCGGTCCAGGCTCGATCATCAGTAATGATTCAGGCCTGTATCAGGACTGGTCCATGTTCCAACTCTTGGGCGTGTACAATTTTGTTTTAAAAAAAACTTATCAAAATTAATATTATCACATGTTACTTAGCAAATTTAAGTTCTTGTGAAGAAAGACAAGAGTATTTACATGACTTGGTTTTAAAGTACTGCGTAGCTTATTTACTGTTAGTCTAGCTGTGAAAAAATCCTCTCAGAAGTTGCTGATGTAGATGGAATGCTCAGCAGATCCTTAGCTATTGTAGCAAGTTTAGGGTATTTTGATTCATTGCTGCTCCTGCAAGTTAAAATATGTTTCCTTTAATATACGATTCTCTGGGAGTTATTTGTCAATGTCATCACAAGGACCCTGCGGTAATGTAGATGCATCACTCAATAGAGCAAGTGTATGTACAATGCCTAGCAATGAATTAGAGCTTTCCTTATTTCACAAGTAAAAAAATAAGCAAGAAACAGAGCATAGTACCACTACCTCAAGACCACAGCCACTTCTCTTTCTGATTCCGCATGAAAATTTTACTTTGATTTGGTTAATACACCAACACTACAGTAACTTTCAGCAAAACAGGTAGCAAGAAAGCAACTGTTGAACATTTAAATTTTTTCAAATTTTTCTCTATTCTTTCTTATAATAAGAAATAAGCAAATTACGACACACTACTTGTTGCGGTTTAAAAATGAAAAACAATTTTTTTCTTTTCATTAATTACTTTCAATATACTCTTAACAAAAGAATTTACATAATATGCAAGAAGCACGTTTATTCTCATAAATGTCCTAGAATTCACCTTTTGTACAAATTACTTTGTTTAAACAAAACTAAATGTGACCATAATTGACAAAAGGGCCCTTATGGCGGATTTTAAAATTGATAGTTATAATGGGAAATATCAACCTGTGAGTGTTTTGTTAGACAATCATTGTTTCTAAAAGTTTCGTGGTAACTTTTTGCATCCTGTGGAGTAATTTTATGATAACTGGGGCTCAGGAAGTTGGATTTCTTAGGCTAGAAAGACAAATTTCACTTTCCGCCATAAGGTACCTTTTGTCAATTATGGTCACAAATAATTTGCAACAAAAACAACATAATAATAAAGGAAAACCTAAATTTGGGAAACCAAAATTAGAGACAGAAACAATGAATGTACTTGAAATTATTAATAAAAGTAATACAGTACTATAAGGTCATTTTCTTTGAGATCATCTGGTAAAGGGAAAGTATAACCCTCATCTTCATTGTGATACTGTACTTTTGATGAACTCATTTATTCTTATTGTGATTTCACAGAAGAGGAAGCTTTTAACCATGAAGTTTTTTATGTAATCATACATTCAGTGTCGGCTGGCCTCATGACTCTAAGAAGCAGCAAATATAAGTAGTAACCATTTCTCCTTATTGTATGGCTTTAAGTGACCACAATATTAAAGATAAGTGATGACGTTTCATTCAGATGTGTCACTGTGATATTGGTAATGAATTGGGAGCTGAAACTTAGTTTTTTAATTGAAGTCATGTACCTAATTTTGGACAACAGCCAATGTGTCCTTTTGATCTTCTGAACAGTCTTTATAACGATAAACTAACACCACACTTTCCAAACTGTTCCATTGCTCTTTGTATTTTTCTCACTGTTGTAGTAACTGTAGCTTCTGCTGAGAGGTCTTTCAGCAAGTTTAAGTTAATGAAGGATTGCCTTTGTTCAACCATGACACAAGATCGACTTGCTGATTTAGGCATTTTAACAATTGCAAATAAAATTGATAAAACTGTTGACATTGAAACTGTTATTCACATTATATAACCAGGGTTTAATGCATGATATTTCCTTGAATATGCAAGCTTATATTTTTTACTAATTTTATAAGCAATTCTTGTTTGCTTTTGACCCTGTTACATTGCCTTATGTAGTAAGCTCTGGCGTTTGATCTATTTTTAGATATAAAACCTTCCATTTGCTTTCTACTTTCATGTTTTCAAATTTTTTTTATTAGTTATGGCCCTAGTTAAATTACTTCTTTTTCAACTTCCCATTCTAACAACTAACACTGTAACAATTACAGTAGCATGCGAAAAAAAAGACCAGTAGCTGCGGCGCAGTTACTTTCCCTCTACCACGTGAGTGCGATCGAACTACGACGGTACCACGCCCAAACTTCCCTGCGCATGCGCAGCGCACAGCAGCAGCACAGTAGAGGCGAGTGGAAGGAGAAGGCAGCTTGCAGGTCGCAGCTAGAGCGAAGAACGAAGGGAAGAGAGCTAGAGATGAGCTTGAGACAACGGACCAAGTTTTTATTTGCAGGAAAAAATCGTAAGCTATAGACAATTTATCATACTTATGGCACTTGCGCTCGATTTTACCGTCACAGCTTTACTACTTGGTGTTGTTTAAAGTGGACGGGACTGTAGCACCTACAAAGGCTAGCTATATCATAGAAAAGGCTGATATCTTGGAAGTTGGATCAGTCTGTCATGTAAAGGATAAAAGTGGAATATATGAGGGAATTGTGGTCACATATGGTAAGCTAAGGGGGCCATACAATGCATGCATGCATTATAAAGCTTATAAATTATAATAAAAGAAGCATGCATATTGTCACTTTTGTGTGTAATGTAGCTACATAGCCTATGATGATTGCTGAGTAATATATAGTACTGCTGAGTATTGAAATGATTTGTCATGCATAAGCCATGTTACAACAAATTTTTGCTGCTAACTTAACGATAGAGCTGTTGCACGGATGTAATCAACGGGGTAGGTGGAGCTTTCTGTCGGCCATCTTGAGTGGCAAGAATGTACACGCAACGAATGGAGGAATGGAAAGAAACTGCGATTTTTCATCAAAGAGATATCATACTTCGCTGCAGAATATTATAGAGACTTCTTTACTCAATATCTTCATCTCCTATCTTGCATTAGCCTGGAATGTCAACTGCAGAATTTATTTAAATTTTTTTCTCCGTTCCCCCATTCATTCTTGGCCTTCTTGCTACCCAACATGGTGGACAATTTAGCTCAATTTTAGCCACACCCTCCCGTTGATTACTTCCGTGCAACAGCTCTATGGATCCCATGCTTTCTTGCTAAATAATGATACTACTTTATAGGTAGTAAAGATGAAGTTGATAATGTGGAAGAGCAGTATTTAAATGGGTTGTATACTCCCAATTTTCTGGTTGGTCTGTGTGATGACAGTGACGATGATGATCAGGACAATGACAATAAGGAGAATGAAGAACCTGATAGGGATTTCATAGAAAAGGAAGATGTCTCTAGAAAAAGAAAGACAGATGGTGTGTTAACTGTAAATGATGATTTAGCTTTACATGATACTTGTAGGTACAGCTAAATTATCTAATAAGGCAAAGAAAAAATCTGTTCCCAAGAAAACAAAAGAGCTCAAGAAAGTAAATGGTGAGGTTCTCTTAAGAATGAGTAATATATGAGTTAAAATCACCTTTTTGTTTAACAGATCAAAAGTCAACCATTAATCTTCTTGGAGTATCATCAATTGTGTCTTCAGGTGTATCCAATTTTGTGTCTGACACTATTGTCACCTCAAGTGTTAGTACCACTTCAACTACACCAGTTACAGTTCAAAGTAGTTGCCCTATCACCACATCCTCAGTTATTCCATCATCAATTCTTGATTCATCTGACTCTGAATGTCAAGAAGTGGAGTCACATAATGGACCAAATGAAGGTTAGAGTTTGTAATCATGGCATATAATAGTATAATATGATAAATTAATTGTAGAGATGCTTAAATCTTGAC